CTGCACAAACATTTACACACCTGCACACACCTGCTGTATGCTCGGCTCACCTGCACACACCTGTGCACACCTGTGCGCACCTGTACTCATTGCATGCAGCTGTTCACACCTGCACACACACCTGTGCGCAGCTGCACAAACATTTACACACCTGTGCACACCTGTACTCGCTGCACACACCTGCACACACCTGTGCACACCTGTGCACACCTGTGCACACCTGCACACCCCTGCACAAAGCTTGTGCTGTATGCTCAGCTCACCTGTACACACCTGCACACACCTGTGCGCAGCTGCACAAACATTTACACATCTGTGCGCACCTGTACTCACTGCACACACCTGTACACACCTGCACACACCTGCACGCACCTGAACACACCTGTACACACCTGCGCACACCTGCGCACACCTGCACAAAGCTCGTGCTGTATGCTCAGCTCACCTGCACACACCTGTGCACACCTGTACTCACTGCACACACCTGTACACACCTGAACACACCTGTGCACACCTGCACACACCTGCACACACTGCACACACTGCACACACTGCACACACTGCACACACCACACCTGCATGCACCTGTACTCACTGCACACACCTGTACACAGCACATGCTGTAAGCTCAGCTCACCTGTACACACCTGCACACACCTGCACATACCTACACATACCTGTATGCCTGTACACACCTGTACACCTGTACACACCTGTACACCCGTCACACACCTGACACACACCTGACACACCTGCTCACACCTGCACACACCGGAACACAATTGCACACACCTGAATGTACCCAACACACCTGCACACACCTGTAATCACTGCACACACCTGCACACACCTGACACTCCTTCATGTACCTTTACAACCTGCACACACCTCGCATACCTGCACACACCTGCACACACCTGTAATCACTGCACACACCTGACACACACCTGACACACACCTGACACACCTGACACACCTGCACAGGTGCATCCCCACAGATACCCCAGGTGCCACACCCGCTGCCCCCCATCCCTTTTAGCCCCCCAGGTGTCCCCAGGTGTGGCCCAGGTGTGCCCAGGTGTGTGCCCAGGTGTGTCCCCAGGTGTGTCCCAGGTGTGCCCAGGTGTGTCAGGTGTGTCCCCAGGTGTGTCCCNTACACACACCTGGACACACTTACAGACACACCTGGACACACCTGGACACAGCCATACACACACCTGTGCACACCTGGACACACCTGTGCACACTTATAGACACACGTGTACACAACCATACACACACCTGTGCACACTTACACACCTGTGCACACCTGTGCACACCTATACACAGCCATACACACACCTGTGCACACCTGGACACACCTGTACACACTTACAGACACACGTGTACACAGCCATACACACACCTGTGCACACCTGTGCACACTTATAGACACACGTGTACACAGCTACACACACCTGTGCACACTTACACACATCTATAGACACACTGTGCACACCTGCACACACCTATAGACACATATACACACATATACACACACCTGTACACACCTGTGTGCACCTGGACACACATATACACACCTTGACACACTTACAGACACACGTGTACACAGCCATACACACACCTGTGTGCACCTGGACACACCTATAGACACATATACACACATATACACACACCTGTGCACACCTGGACACACCTGTACACACCTGTACACACATATACACACACCTGCACACACCTGTGCGCACCTGGACATACCTGTACACACATATACACACACCTGTACACACCTGTGCACACCTGCACACACCTGTACACACATATGCACACACCTGTGCACACCTGGACACACCTGGACACACCTGTACACACATATACACACACCTGTACACACCTGTGTGCTCTTGCACGCACCTGCATTCACCTGTACGCACCTGTAGACACTTACATGTAACTCTGCACACCTGCAGACATCTGCACGCACCTGTGCACACTTATATATGCATGTACACACCTGCACACACAGGTACACCGCTGCACTAACATTTACACACCTGAACACACCTGCACAGACTTGTACCTGCATTCACACACCTGCACACACCTGTACACACAGGTACACCGCTGCACTAACACTTAGACACCTGTGCACACCTGCACAGACTTGTACCTGCATTCACACACCTGCACACACCTGTACACACAGGTACACCGCTGCACTAACATTTACACACCTGCGCACA